GACAAACTCCTGCTAGCATAGGCTATAACCCGTTTGAAGTTGTTCTGCGTCTGATATAATACAGCACCAATGCTTGATGATGAGGCATCTGTATGAAGTTCAAAGGGTAAGGAGTAATTGGCGAATCCTAGAATTGGATATGTTGTGAGTTTCAGTGTCCTTAAGTTTGTTGAAGGCTTGTTCCTGCTCACTACCCCATCTCCACTTGTCTGATTCTTTTGATGTCCTGACACCCTTTCTAGATTTCTTCTTTGTATTTGGTAGGAGGTCATTCAATGGGCGTGCTATTGTTGAAAATCCCTCGATGAATCTCCGGTAATACCCAACAAAACCCAGGAACTGGCGAACTTCATCTGAGTTTCTTGGTTGCGGCCAGTTCTGTACCTTGCTGATCTTTTCTGGGTCTGGTTCTATCCCCTCCTCACTGACTATGTTTCCTACATATTTTACTTTGCTCTTAAAGAATTCGCACTTCTTCGGGGATAGCTTTAGGTTTACTTCTCTTAGTCGTTGAAAGATCTTTTCCAAACGTTCTAAATGCTCATCGTATGTCTTGGAGAAGATTATCAAGTCATCCAAGTAGATGAAGCATATATCCAGGTGTAGCCCTTCAAAGCATTCCTCCATAAGCCTTTGGTATGTAGCAGGTGCGTTGACTAGACCGAATGGCATGCGATGGTATTCATAAAAGCCTAAGGGTCCAACAGTAAACGCAGTTCTTTCCTTGTGACTTTCATGTAACTCAACCTGATGGTATCCACTTTTCATATCCAAGATGGTAAAGAATCTATTTCCTGCTAACGCATCCAATATTTCTTCTATCCTTGGTAACGCATAGGAGTCTTTCTTTGTCCTAAGATTTAGCTGGCGATAATCTACACACATGCGTAGTTCGTTGTTTTTCTTGCGACAAAGGACAACGTTGCTTGACCATGGTGATTTTGACTTCCTGATAATTCCTCCTTCTAATAGTTTCCTTAGGTGATCTTTGACCTCTTCAAACATGGCCGGTGGTATTCGCCTCGGTCGTTGCTTAAATGGTGTTTCGTCATGTAAATCGATCCTGTGCTTCACAATGTTAGTGTGTCCTATGTCGATGTCCGACTTTGAGAATACATCCTCATACTTCCGCAATAAATGTTCTGCTCCTTGCTAAATTTTTCTAATAAACTAAATACTAGCTGCTCTGATACTGTAAGTTTATCTCGCTCGATCTTCACCAAACTTAAGACATCTTTGGTTTCTTGGAGGCTTGAACATGGTAAAGCTGTTTGATGTGGTTCAATTTTCACTGGTTGTAGCTCGCATATGATGGATTTAGGTGGAACTTGTACTGTCCTTGTAGTTATGTTGTCAATGTCCACTCTTATCACCTGACTGGCTGGATAGGTATAGTCTGTAAGTGATGGTACAATATCCAGGTCTGATGGAATAACTGAGCGGGGTGTGGCTTGTAGAACAGCTGTCGTAGACTGAATCGGTATAGCTTTGTCGACATATCCAGATATAGAAACTGTTGAATTTGGTGGTATAATAATACAGTGATTTTCAGCTGATTTTACGATTCCAAGTCGGTTGTTGTTGCGAGCAAGTTCTTTTTCTCGTATTGTCATACCTCGAAATGCTAAATACCATGGTGTAAATAATGCAGCATCCTGTAGATATTTGTCTCCATATTTGTCCTTGACACCATCTAGCATGTGTTGTAATATATTGGTTCCAATAAGTAGTGGTACTCGACTGTTATAGTTGCTGGTGGATACAACAAGTAATGGAAATTGAAGTGGTTCCTCCAATGATTGTGGTATTCCTTTACTTTGGATGGAAGCTTCAATGTATCCATAATATGGTAACTGTTGACCATCTGCGCATTCGACTTGTAAAAGTTCTCTTATTGGATGAAGTTCAAGATGACTAAGATGTTTCGTATAAAAATCATGACTAACTGTTGAAACAGTAGATCCAGTGTCTATCAATGCTCTGACTAAGTTTCCTTCTAAACTTGCTTCCACTTCTGATGTATTTCCTACCAATTCGCTATTTCTATTCTTAGTAGGGCCTTTCCGGTACTGACCTAGCGTTTGCCCCGCAACGAAGGTCTCCTCACGTTTAAATATCTCCTACTGTGGTCCATACGCACTTGACAGTTACGAGCAATATGTCCCGGTTGTCTGCACTTGTAACATATCACAGGTTCTCCATCCTCTGTTTGAGCGGATTCCTGATTGTCATATCCATACTCATAATTATAGTTGAACCCCTGAGTATATCTTGGACCATTGTAGTTATTGAAGTTAGGACGTCCACTGTACGAGTTTCCATATCCATAATTTCCTCTTCTAGACTGTGGCGGAATTCTGCCATATGATTCTCCAAGATCTTTCCTGTTTGTACGCTGTTGTTCCATGGCACTGACTTTTGTAGTGAGCTGTTGAATCATTCCTTTAAGTTCCTTGATCTCATCTCCTTTCTCAGCTTCACTTGATGTTACAGCCATATTTGATTGTGCCTTCTTTGTTTCATGTTCCTTTTCCACAAGTCTGATTTCCTTCCTAAGTTCATCAAAATTGGTCAATGCATCAAATTTGTATCCGGTAATATCCTTGATCCACTGATGAAGACCATTCCAGAATTTTGATCTCAATTTCTCATTTGAATCCTCCTTGGTTGCAACTCCTTTGATAACTGCCTTTCTATAAATCTCCTCTAAACGACAACTCCAACTCATACTATCCTCTCCTTTTTCTTGTCGCGCACTGTAAAATTGTTCCATGATTGTCTCTCCTCGTTCTATTGTGCCAAACACACTCTCCATCTTGTCCAGTATCTGGGTTACAGTGGCTCCAGGACCAAGTCTCATGGCAACCTTGCCTGCATCTCCTCGCAATGATCTCCTAATTGACTGAGCAATTGCCTCCTCCTTGCACTTCTCCTTGATCAAACAATCCACTTCATATCGCCAAAGATCATATGTGGTGTCATTCTTGCTGCCGTCTCCAGAAAAGCAAGAGATCTTTGGAATGTGGGAACTGATGGTGCTAAATCCTGATGCTGATGACGTTCCAGTATCCGCGTGCGGTTCTGTCTTTACATTGACAAATTCCTCCTCATTCATTTGTGCAACATACTGAGTCATCCATTGTTTGAAATCCTGTGCTGTATCTGCTTTAGGTTTTACATTTAATTCTTTGAAAACTTTTGCAATTTGATCGAGTTCCTCCTGTGAAATGTCGACGGACATGATGATTTGTTGTTTGTTGTTTGATTTCCAAATAAACTTTTCTAATAAACTAAATACTAGCTAGGTACCTAGTAACTTAAGCTACCTTAATTATCTTAATAAATCTATAAGACTACATCCTCTGAAGCTGAAGAATCCAATGTATAATCCAATCCGAAGAGTCCGAGATGAAGTCAAATAATTAAATCTAACTAATTAATTAAACTAATTAAACTTAAATTCTAAATATCTACTTAATTAAATTTTAAATTCTATGTAATACTAAATTTCACTGAAATGCAAAGTATTATTAATCACCTGAAAAACAAAATTTCCCACCGTGGATGCCATTGAAATGGGGTTCGTTTTATAAGTAAATTAACACAAACACCATGTTGTAGATGTGGATAAGTGTATATTCAATCAGTATTATCACAGCTCTGAAATATATAAACAATAATAAATATTTGATAACAATACATACATGTAGATCACTTGCCAGATAGCATGGTCAAAATGAGAGTTATTGCCCTTTAATTGTGCTCATATATAAAACATTAAGAGTTGTCTTTCTTAATCAATAATATGTACAGAGTATAAATACTGGAATTTATAGATGAAACAATCAGATCAATAATACTGAACTTTTCCAGAATAATATAATTATATGGACAATATTCAAAATATATATACATCATACCTATATGTGATATAAAGCCAATACTCCAAATATACAATGATGCGTGAACTCTTACTCAGTGATCTGTATATAAATAATAAACAACTTTACTGTATTGCTCTCAAAAATGTACATACAATGATATATGAAATTATTACTTTTCATTATTTACACACTCATAAAATAATCACAAAGACTGAATCTTCATACTTCATATTAGAATATTATTATTTAGGAATTAAATAGATAAACAATTATATAGAGATAATGAAATTAGTAAAAGTCAACTTACATTCTGTCCAGTCTTGGTCATGGTCGTAAATAAGTCAATATAGACAAACAAATATACCAAAAAGCAATATGTCTGCTGGTCAGACCAAGATCTCCAACAAAAGTTATTAACTAAGCTAAAAACCAAAAGAGAGGGAAACTAACCAACCAATGAAATCCAAGTTGGCCCTGACACTACACAAGATATAAATAGAAAAGGGACAGGGGTTTAAATGACCACTGGTGATGTCATACATCTATAAATAACACAATGAACACAGGTTGATGTAAATAATTCCATGTGGATTTATTCAATAAATGAAATGCTGAAAAGAAATAAATATGATAATTCAACTGAATTAATTTAATCGTGAAATATAATAATTAATATAAGAAATAAATCACCCTATCACATTTACATACACTTAAATTTTAGATTTGACGAATAGATTATAACCATGAAATTAATGAAATAAACTTTGGTTAGTTTCAATTCAAGTTCTTACACGAATAAAGTTTTGTTTGTATTTTTGCGAAGAATAAACTTAAGGCTATTTATATCCATATACTTTCTAGGAATGAAGGCTAATGTTCACGTCCGCACGTACTTTACAGACTTAATCCTTTTCTTTTACTCCAATGCTTAAATGGAAGTTAGAAAAATATTTTTGTGTTTATTGTGTTTATATTTTTCCTTAAAAAAAAATACTTATATCAAACGTAGGCTTCCTGAATACTAACAGATCGCTGTCTTTATATTTGTAGTTTAGCATTTACCAAACATATAATTGAAAGATGTTTATTATTAAAACACCTCTTCCTTTCTTTCAGGAATGGACTGGGTTTTGAAGTTAGCATCTGCAATACTATTGTTTGAATTAGGTAAGTGTGCTGTAAGATGTTTCTTTCATTTTTGAAAACCAATCTCAAGAATTAAAACAGGGATTTCAATTTTGACAGTTGAAGCTTTTCCTCGGAATGAGAAAGAGGCAAATAAATACGAAAGCGACAGCAGTCATAGAAATTTAAGGCTAGAACTCCACCATGAAAAGAATGATCCTCAACATCAAAAGAATATTTTGGTACCTTATGAAAACTCGTTAAAACAAATAGCGAAAAACCCTGCGTCAGATAGAAGTGGTAAAGTATTTCAAAAACTGTTCTCAGGAAGGACAATGAACACTCCTCAAAACAGAGAACCATCTTCTCAGAATAGGAAGGACTCAGTTGAAAAATACGCTCTGCTGGCTTTGATTCCTATGCGAGGAAGAAGGACATGGAGGAGAAGAGGCTTTAAGATATACAACGCAGTTCCGGATGCAAGATACCATTTTGATTCCATGGCTATAGACCCAATGTTTAACTTTCTTGGCATTGGAAAGTAAAGACTCTTTTACTTATAATGCAATGGGACTCTGATGGTAAATGATTTTAATCGACAAATAAAGTGATTTGTGCATGCGCAGTTAAGTAAATGGAGCTGGTAAAGGTAAAAATAAAGTTTAAAAATGTTGATTGGCTGACTGATGTCACCCAGTCTCATTTAGTTGCGATTTGATATACATGTATCAATAGAAATCATATGTTAAAAAAATCAGTAGGCAGCTAAATTTGGAGTAAAGCAGATTAAACCTTCGAATTTATAGTATGCTGCAGATAAAATATGTATAACAAAGAAACATATTTCAGATGATTTTTTTAATATTTCAAAATATACATTATAAGTTTTTCGTTATTTCCCGATTATGACAATGAGTACATGGCGGGTTTGACAAGTCGGCAGGGGATGTTTACTCATCCATGGCACCTGATCCCACCTCTGATGTTTTAGAGAACACATGTGTTTGTTCTGCTCTAAAAATATGTATTAATCATAGATCTTTGAGTTTGAATAATGTTCTTTATTTCCATTTATTTTATTTTTAATAATTTTACTATCATCAAGACGTTAACCTTATCCTTATTATAGCTGCTCCGATAATTTATTTTGACCGTGAATTTTTACCGATGTAGCATAATATGAAAATATTAATTATTAAAACTTTCTCTACTTAAAATAATTTGTAAGATAACTAGAGGTACTTTGAGCAATGAGCCCACTAAATGATAGGGCTGTATCAATATATCGATATATCGATACGTATCGATATTCAAGAAAAATATCGTATCGAAAAGTACTTCCAATACGTATCGGACAGACATTTTTTCTTCAAATTCTGTTTAAAAGATGGGAATTTCAAACACCAAAGATTCTATTTTATTTTTTTAATTAAAACCTTCAATAATTGTATAATTTTTAAGGAAATAACAGTTTTTATAATTGTTACAAAATACAAAGAAATTTTTTTTTTAACATGTTGATTTTACTGTTATCAAAACTTTTAATTGAAGTGTTATTTTTAAAGACAATGAGACAAGAACTTTAAAATGGGTAATAAAACACTTAACTGATATGAAATGTATGCATTAAAATAATTTAGAAGCCTTTTCTGATGGACTTGTTTCAGAATCCAATATATCGCATATCGCTTTAAAAAATCTTGTATCGTATCGTATCGAAATTTTTGGCTCAATACACAGCCCTACTAAATGATACCCCCCGCCTCCCATATGGTTATAATGGCAAAGTCCATGTTTTGTTGTGGCCGGGAAACCCAAATTATGTGTCAGATCAAAAAGTAAAATAGGAGGTGCACAATGGCAATATGTAATAAAGATTCTGTGAAAGTTTCATTAAATTTCACTCAGTGGTATAAGAGGAGTTGCGGATAAGAGATGTGTACCACAAAGCGTAACAGACAGACGGACAGACAGACAGACGTAGGTACGGATGGACGGACGGACGGACATACCGATTACAGTATACCCACCCACTTTTCAAGCGGGGGTATATCAAGCAGCGTTTGATTTATTTTTTCGCCTAAAGCATTGCTGAAGGAATATTTCCAATATATAGCATTATCTACCCATAATCTACCCATTATTGTAGACATAAAGGGATAAAATAACTAACTTGGGTTTCTTATTTTTTTTTTATCGGTATCAATATTAGGTGCATACCGACATAAAAGATAAAAATATATATATGTACAAGTATTTAATATAAAATTTTCTTTAAATTTCTTTCTATGAAAAAATGCATTTATATGTACAAACCGCCTTCATTATAACGTAAAGTAAAAAAAAATTGTATCAATTTGGAATTTCCCGATTTATTTTTAGATCAATTTAGAGGACATAAATCCTTGTATTCACCTGGAACGTCACGTGCAGGTCAATACAACGTAGTATTTTTCTAACATAGTTGGATCTCAACCAATCAGAGAGATGGAAATTATTTAATCATATGAAATGTCTTCTACGATCAACAATGTCTGTTTTGCAGAAATTGGACAGCAAAACTCTAAATTGTAATGTTACATATAGAAATACTTTGAGATGAAACAAAATGCAAAGAAAATAATTTATTTGTATTAAATTGACATATATATTATAAGTACACTGACTATGGAATTCTCGTCATTTAGCCCCCTGAAGTATAATGATAATATCCATAATTAGATATAACTGCAAAGAAGAAGAAACATAATTTCAAAAGAAAAACAAACAAACAAAATTAGAGAAACGCTACTCACATTCATTGTCCGTGACCAGAAGCCACACCATGATGTGCATTAATAGGGCCCTGGGCTTCTAGTGTTAACCGCTGAAATAACATTGTCAAGTTAAGGAGGGGTTCTTCTCATATTTCTTGCATTTAAAAATTAATGAAATGCTTACAGAATCAAGAAGACAATGTCACTTATCGATGGTATCAGTTAGATTAAATTTGACCGTTTTATACCGAGTATTAGAGGCCAGGTCAGAACAAGGTCATTACCTTTTGTCTGCACATTAAAAATAAAAATTACTCTTGCCAAGCATGTCTACTTGTATTACTAAGGATAAAATGTTTTTTTTTTTGTGTTTGCATTTAGAGATAAAACCTGATATAGGGTCTATAAGATGATATTACCAGTATTACCAAACTGGCATAGGTAATTTATCGAAGATCGATTTTGTGGATTTTTTGGATTTTGGCGAATCAAATTCCTCTATTTTCTTAAATTTTACAATATTTTTGGTTATTTTTATATGTTTCATATCTTTTAATTTATGGCTAAGTTGTCACCTAAAGATACTAATAACATAAAAACAAAAAGTTCTGATCGTTTACTAAGAGAGAAAAAAAATCACTTTTTACGGATTTTTGGCTCAAATCTGTACTTAGATATGAAGCTTTTAAAATCTAGATAATTGTAGTTTGTCAGGGAAATCATATTTATTTGATATATTTTGAAACTTTAGCCCCTTTAGCTTATTATTAATATATTCTACATTTAAACGTTTCTTCAAGTCTTTGATTGTGTACAAATTGTATCTAAATTTACTGCTCTATAATAATTTTGAGATGCAGAATAGATTTTCATTCGCCGCCATTCCTCCTAAATACTAGTCGCTACCAGGTTTCAAACTCAGTTTACCTTATATCTGTTTAAAGTTGTTAATTGTGATGAGGAAAAAATAATATGATCGTTTAAATATCTAACCTCTAAATATATAAGGCATAAAAGCAAAAAGTCCTTGAATATTTTATCGAGTCAGAAACCAGACAAGAATACCTTCTTAAAAGTCATCTATAAGTGTTTGTGCTCTGGGTTCCTTAATTTATTATTCACATGGGTTTTGGTGTGATTAATATATTTGTATTTATTGCCTTAAAATTCTTATTTCAAGATGCTAAATATATGAGATGACGGACCAACGAGAAGTCAATGAGTTATAGTTTCTACCTGTACGACATGAAGCCTTTTGAAGTTTTACTTTTTGACATAGTTTTACATGTTTGACATTATGTTATTCGTATGACAAAGTTTTACTTAATGACATAGTAATACCTTGAATACATAACATTACCTGTATGACATAGTTTTACTTATAATGACATAGTAATACTAAGTACCTTAAATACATAACATTACCTGTATGACATAGTTTTACTTTAGCATATTAATACCTTGAATACATAGCATTACCTGCATGACATAGTTTTTAAAGATACCTTATATATTATTAACATTACCTGTATAACATAGTTTTACTTTAGTTAATGACATATTAATACCTTGAATACATAGCATTACCTGCATGACATAGTTTTTAAAGATTCTCTCGTCATCGGCACTCAAGGCTGAAAAAATAGCATTAGATTTTTAATTATTAAGTTATTAATGATTTATAAGAAAAATTTCTAAAATTTAAAATATTCAATGCGTAACCCACCGACGAATATTTCGAGTATTCTTGAGTATCCCACGGTGTTAATGAAATCTGTTAGATTTCCAGCATCTGCGTGGGAAACCATATCAACAAGTAAAAGTTGTTGATCTACCGATAATGTTGATAGAAAATTGTTTAGTTGAAGTTGTTTTAAAACGTCTAGAATATCACGCTCCTAAATAGGAAAGAGAATATATTTTTCAATTCATATTTGAGTATTGTACAATTGAAGTTTATTAACTTTAAGAAAAAGATAAATTAGGGAGTCTATTTATCTCTGAACAATATGGAGATATCTTATCGAATCAGCGTTAGGTCTATATTGCTTTTAGTAAAGAATTCTCTCTCTCTCTCTCTCAGTTTTTACTACCCTGTTGAATGACAGGTGGTCCCTCTGAAAAGATTCCTGGTAGAAATCAATTGACTAATTCAGGGCAAAATGAATGACATTACGTATGGGAATTTGGTACAGAGAGCTCTGGGCAAAAAAAACCTTCCATATCTATTTTAGGTATTCCTGGTGTCAGAAATAAGAAAACTGGTAATAAGTACCGAATGGATTGGTTTATTTTCATGTAGATTGATTTTTATGAGGGAAGGACCGGATCACGAGATTTAACAAAAAATACATCGCTAACTCTATACGTAGTTTTATTTATTGAAGAATAAACATCACTTTTATTCAATTTGGTTCCATTAGCCTATTTTTTTCTGTTTGGTTGTTGTTACATAATAAATGTATAACTGTTCAGCAAGTTAGGGAAAGCCTGATAACAAATGAATAATTGACCGCTGTGATTGGAACAAAAAGCGGTTTGTAATGATGGAAGTTTTGGATGTGATTACTCACCACAAGGCCAGAAAGACAGACACCCACCAGCATTATCAAAATCAAGGCCTTCATTCTGGAAATGGATTTTGTTCTGTAACATTGAAAAAGAAGATAACACAATAGGTCGTCTTTTAACCTCAATTTGACGAGACAACATCCCACGTATCCTAATTTCTTGATGGACTTGTATATATATATATATATATATATATATATAATATATATATATATATATATATATATATATATATATATATATATATATATATATTTATATATATATATATATATAGGTTACGTCATAAATCCAAATTAAATTCAAGATAAACAAACAAGTTCACATTTAATTTTTGCATTATATATATTTTTATATATATAGAATTGGCAATGTTTTTGAAATTTTAAATTTGAATTTAAAATTGATAACTGTTAGTCATAATTGAAGAAAAAATCCTTTAAAAGGCAAAATTTGAGGAAATGGTTGGTGTTAAGAACGCAAATTAATAATGAATGAGACTTCGCGACTGCCTGGCTAATCAATCGTTATAAAGATAGATGAGAAGTAGAAATACACCTATAACAATATTGTACTAACAGGTGCGGGAGTGTCATTTTAAAAATCATTCCAATAATACACTTTGTTATTATTAGTTATCCCGTATTGCAATTACTCCGATTACTAAAGGGACCGACGTGTTCTTCATTAGTAAAACAACAAGAAAACATAGCTAATATACTAAATATTCTATATTTATCTATGAAATGTCCCTTCTACCTGATCGGTACATAGAGCTCACGGCGTTTACACGTGACCGGTCAACAGGGAATGCTTACTCATCTTAGTCACCTTATTCCATCTATGACGTCATTTTTAATACACTATTCACAGAATTGTATTGTTTGTAGATTTTTATAGATTGTTTGCTTTTCGTTATTTTCACCTTTTACATTAATGATATGACTATTATACATGGAATAAAAATGGCACACTATACCAAGGACACAAATATAATATCTAATTGTTGATACGATACAGTAAAATTTTCAATGCATTGGAATCTCTAATCGCAAGTATTCTATTTCATAGATCCAAAAATATTTAATGTTTCAACATGATTCTCTAATTCCATGTACACCTTACCAAGGATTCAATTAATAGAAATAGTTAATGTATCGACAAGGTTACCAAGATTTCAGTGAAATTATTATAATGTATCGACATTTCTTACCTTATGCATTACTAGTATATACCAAGGATATGTCAAAGGTATAAACTTTAACAAGAATGTAATGAAATAATCAAACTATGGACAAGGAGCACGCAGTGGATGTGACCGGTGGTCGGCAGGGGATGCTCACTTCACAATGGCACCTGATCCCACCTTCAATATTTTGGAGGTGCGTGTTTGCTCTATTCCTATTTTGTATTGTTTTATGGACTTTTGATTTTGAATACAGTTCGTTATCTCCATATGTTTCATATATAATTGTCGAATTATTAACTATTTAAACTAACTATATTTTACTGAATCCTTTGAAAATACATATTCATATTTCAATTAATGTTTGAGTGTTTTACATCTGTGTATTTTTTAAAATAATTATTGAAATAAGCTAGATTCTATATATACAGTATACATAATCGTCACGACTTCGTTTTGATATTAAGTTGATTGTGTTCATTTAGCCTAGTAAATATGTAAATATAAATATAATTAAATCAGAAAAATGTTTATTTATTTGACGTATCTGGAAAAAAAAATAATACGAGATTTAGTAAATGTGATTTATCTGATTTACATTTCAGCGATTTTGAACTTCATTAACCTCATACCTCTATAGTTATGACTTAATTAAGCTTTGTCTGTTACTTAAAAGTGGAATCGATAGTATAATCGATTATTGTTATAAATTTCTGATATCTTTGTAACCTGTATGATTTAAATTGTGTAATTCACAGAAAAGTTATTTCTTTATATTAAGTATTAAAACAAGAACAAAAACTTTTTTTTTAAATATGGTTATTAGAACTTTTCAAAAATACAACGTATACATATATGGTTATAACATATGCACAAATATTAATTTGAAAGGAAATTCTAGAAATGTAAGACATACATATTTATATCAATCAAGACTCCCTCCAAAAATTAATAATTTATTACAAATATGCTAAAAATATAAATTCGTTTTATAAATTGTATCCTTTGTTTGCAAAAATGTTGATAACTGTACATGTGATAATATTTGATCTGTTTTTTTTTTCTTGAAAATTAAAATGTATTCCCTACCCTCGTGCCTGATCCACACTAGTTTGCGTCGTTTACACAATAAACTCGCAAAATGTTAATCAGATAAAAAGGAGGTCAGACTCTGAGAAATAGACCAGTTGATTCTAAGAAGATTTCGTCCTACCGTCACTTTGTCCATATAGGTCACATGACACATAGTATTAACTTGGTCAAATGGACTTGTTACCCCGACTTTGTGACTGAAATTATACCAAATATTCGTACCTGACTTACTAAATAAACCGTAGGACATCCTTTCTGATACATGTATCTAACATGAAAAAAAAGAAGAAATTGTCAAATTTAAAAAGAGGGAGGAGCATCAAATATGTTCAAAATAACTGCGAAATCTTACAAATAGTATTTACTTAATCAATACTCAGTTAATTAATACTCAGTTAATCACGTTGGTGTTCTCACTGTCCGACAAAGAAGTATTTGTATATAAAATAGAAAATGTGAGGGGGAAACGTTAAAAATAGATACAGATGAGCTTCATTCACTTATATCCACTTCTCAGAACATTTTACTTTGATTATCAGGTACTAGTATATATTTTGTGTATAATCATACAGAAATATGTTGCAGATAAGGAAAAGCATTCGAGCTGAAAAGTCCAGTATACATTACAAGATAGGAGCGGAGAAAACACAGACCTCCAAATTTCGGAAAACTTTGACTTTGAATTGTGATGTCTATTAATTTAGTTTGAAATACTGATGCTCCTAATAGGGTATTAACAAAATTTGATTTGTGTTTCCATTTTTTCATTGATGTTCCTATGATGGTATATGGCCGTGTCTTATCGTAAGATAAGTTTATATGACGTACCTTATCTCACTCTGTGTAAATACTTATACAGAATTTGGTCACCAGCAGGTAAGTTCATATGCTTTATAAAGTACAACATAATATTTATGATTCAGAGAAAATAACTCTTTTAACCTGAGTTTGCTTTATATGTTGATTATATATTTTCAATTGTGAGCGGTGCACAAATCTCATTTTTGTCTGTCCTTAAAAGTTACTTATAAAAACCTAAAAGCTGAAAGTAATTGTGAAATACGCCAAGAATCCTGTAATGGTTACATCAGAATATGAACATAATGCCCGAATTAAAAAGCAGATTACAAAACCTTTCATTTCCATTTTTTTTTTCAATGTAGCACAACCATGAAGACAGTGGTATATTTTTTTGCCTTATCTATATCCGTGGCGTTTTGTGACATCAATAAGCGTGATTTACTGGAAATCCTTGGGATTATTCATAAAGACCCAGGTTTCCATACACTTCCGATGGATACTCAGCTCACTATAGTTGAATTGGTTGCAGCAGCTGAAAACAGTGTCCTTGTACAATATGTAGATGACAAAGGATTTCTAAACGTTCTGAAGGCTTTGAGTGGTGAGTTTTGACACTTGTTTGAAAGTTTCTGAAAATAGAGGACACTTTTATATTAGGTGTGATAATAAAATAATAATAATTTTATTATCAATTCAATTAATTAATTATTATTATTATTAGTTTTAATACTAATACTCTCACCTAATGTATATTATATGATATTTTATTGAACATGTTGAATGCTTGCAACAGTTGGAACATCAATTCAACAGAAAAGCCTCGAAACATATCTTTTAACGGTAAGATTTAGTTAACCATACAAAAAATCACTCGGATGTTAAGATATTCAATTCAAATGAAACATTATTCAAAGAAGTCTTTTATTTGATTCAATTTAGTTAAAATAATAAAGATTTTATAAAATTGCTGTCTACGATGTGAAATAAATTACTTCAATGTTTCACTCTCAAAAGCACATGAATATGGAGTACAGTAAGACAACAACAAAATCAACGACAACCACAACAACGACGACAACAACGACGACAACTACTCCTAAACCACAGGTCGTAGGAGTAGGCAGTGTACGTATTTATAGTAATTTACAACTCCTAAACCACAGGTCGTAGGAGTAGGCAGTGTATGTATTTATAGTAATTTACAACTCCTAAACCACTGGTCGTAGGAGTAGGCAGTGTATGTATTTATAGTAATCTACAACTCCTAAACCACAGGTCGTAGGAGTAGGCAGTGTATGTATTTATAGTAATCTACAACTCCTAAACCACAGGTCCTAGGAGTAGGCAGTGTATGTATTTATAGTAATTTACAACTCCTAAACCACAGGTCGTAGGAGTGGACAGTGTATGCATCTATAGTAATTTACAACTCCTAAACCACAGGTCGTAGGAGTAGACAGTGTATGTATTTTTAGTAATTTACAACTCCTAAACTACAGGTCGTACGAGTAGGCAGTGTATGTATTTTATAGTAATCTACAATTCCAAGATAAAAGGTTGCAGATGTAAACAAAGTAGATAGATATTGAAATATATAATTTCTAAACAAAAAGATATGTTTGTCAAACATCGATGCCCCAATATGACAGCTTTGGAGAAAACTTAATCAAAGGATGAGAAATGCTCTTACACAAATAAATGGCTTCCTCTCAATGAATATACCTTGAAATATAAAAGCCCAAACTTAAACAGTTAAAGATCATGGCCAAGTTTAAAGTATTCTAAAGTGTTGTTCAAACTCGAAGGGTAAGGCCAAACGGTCAAATGTAAGGTTCCCAAAGGAAGGCCTAGTCATGTAAAATATTAAATCCCATGCCCCAACTGTTCAAAAGTTATGACCAAGGTGAAAAAGTTTCAAAAGTAGGTGAAACCCCAAAGGTTAACTTCAAAATCGTTGGTGTCTAAAGGAAGGGCTTTGTTACATCGAATATACCATTAAAATATGAAGGCTCAAATACTTATGGTGTAGACAAGGTTAAAATCGGGTAAAGTCTTGAAAAATTGGAAGAAACTTCAAAGTTAAGAGGTAAAAAATGTTGGAGCCAAAGGAAACGCTTTGTCACAAGAAATACACAGGTGAAATAAGAGAGCCATAGCTCTAAGCAACATACGGACAGAGCAAAAACTCTATACCCCGAACCTTCGACAGATGGACAGGGAAAAAACTTTATACCCTGAACCTTCGATTACGGGGGCTTAAAAACAAAGGTGATATTAAAAAGTATAAGTGTTTAAAGTAATCTAATATTCCTAGGAATAGTTGCAGCAATTTCACATCTCCTTAAAACAAAGCACTTGTAGTAGGAGTTGACAATGGGAGTATTTATGGTACTTATATTCGAGTATATATCACATTTTTGAGGATGTATATAGTGATTGTATTTACAGTAACTCCTTTTTCACTCTCATATCTCTAATCAAAAATATAAGTTAAGAGAATTTAATTTCATAACTTCTATATAGAGGGTTTAATAACATAAATATTGAAAATAATAGGAATAATCTTCATTGTAAGTATGTTAAAAACATTCAATATATGTATCCCATACTATGATATTACTTCTTAGATAGCGTATGATCGGCCAACAGGGGATGCTTACTCCTTCTAGGCACCTGGTCCCACCGCTTGCATTTCCGGGTGTCCGTGCTAATACCTTGTCCAAAGTTTTATATTGTTGGAAGATTTTTTTAGAATGCCCACTATTTCTTTTCTTCACATTTTTCATACATGTATCCTTAGAGTTCTGAGTTCTGCCATCTTATCACGATCAATAGTCTTTCTATTGAAAGTTTTCTTTCAAAGCATTTGAATATGCATTGCAGGAGAGACTCAAAACCTAGTCCTTGTGATGACATTGTAGGATATAATTATCACAGATATATATTTTTCAGGGCCCTCTTGGTAAAAGAGACACTGATAACTACCTCCAACACTCCATAGTAAATAGCCCAGCCTTCCAGCACCTGACAGAAGACAAGCAACAGATTATCCATAGATTGTTGGATTCTGTCAGTAATCATGATCTTACACAAACTATATTCCTACAACAGGGCATAGACTTCATCCATGCATTAAGTAAGAATTCAAAATCATCCATACACTAAGTAACAAAAAGACTTCATCCACTCACTAAGTAATAATAATTAATGTACAAAGCTATCTAAGAAGGCTTTATTAGAGACTATATGTACTTTAACTTAGTTTGCAAAAGTGTCATTATTTAATAAAGGTAAAATATTTCCTTATTCATGAAGTCATTGTCAATTCATTTATTGGATATACGTCAATGATATTTTTTTTTATAAACTGTGTACTTTATACCCCCTCTTTATTCCAACGCCTTGTCATACAAAAAATAAAACTTACAGTTTTAAACACGGAAGTTAAGTTTTAAATTCTAAGTCATGCAACAATTGTTATCCATAAAAAATAGAATATTATAAGAAGAAATTTATGTGCCATATTCAATATACATTTCGAATTTGTTAGAGATCTAAGAATTTTAAATTTATGCGTAAAGAAATAAAACCTTTTTATAAAAAAAAAAAAAAAAAAAAAAAAAAAAAAAAAAAAAAAACAAAAAAAAAAAAAACTGGGTTTCCTTTTTTCCACAGGGCTACCAGCTGACCTTGCTCATAAACTTACTTTACTCATTACGCATGTAAGTATTACTTATATTAACAGGGGCGATTTCTAGTAAGCCTTCAATGTCCGCTTACTTAGCGAAATAATATCATCGTCATATCAACAAAATTATACTGCATTGAATGATGAGGGTTTATTCTTTCATGGAAACTTTAAGAATAAACTTTAGAGGATTGGGATTTTGCCGGTCCCTCATTTGTAATTGATTCAAACACAGTCCTTGATTTCGTTTCACACTTTACTGTAAAGATTATACAAAGAATGAAATTATATGTATATGTGAAGGGGGTTTATTATCATTAAAGTGAATCTCTTTCAGTCAGTCCAAAGATGACCTTATGAATTTGTTTTGTTTTGTATTATAGGAAATGATGCTTGAAGGACATGGCACGAAATATGCACAAAAGGACGACGACGATAAGTAAATAAGTGATGCTTTAAAATTTACTCAATGAGACTTTAGAATTCTTATAGAAATAAACCTAAAAATGCAATTAGTCTTTAAAATATGTTTCATAAGAATAAATATCAGTTACATGTGCTACAGATTACAAAATTTGGAATTACGTGATAAAAATATTTTCCTTTTTCTATTTCAGGTAAAAGATATAGCTGTGAATCATTATTAAAATTGTATAAATTAAAATCTATGATGTATAGATTCTCAGTGATGTCTTAATTCTTTTTCATGAAAAGACTAGCATTTTGAATCACCTAATGCATATAAAAACGGTCTGGTCATGTGATCAAAACAATCAAATCCGAAAAAATTGTTATATGCAGCTTATTTGCAACCTGATAAATGATGAAAATGATACCTTATCATACACAAAACTTTAAATACCTGTATATGACAATTTGACTAAAAGTAATATTTTATTGCTTATATTTACTTTACTGACTGATTTATTTCAAACATTTACGTACGTAAACTTTAAACCTATATTTTTTCATTGTTTAAGCCATTGCTTTTTAAACACTTGATATTTTTAAAATCAATGACAAACAAAAGAAATCATAGATAGCTCATAGAAAACTCTTGTCATCTCACGTGAGCAAGATTTGTGATTTAGCTTCCGCTGCTGGTTACATATTTTTTTTATAAGTGTAGAATATAAACAATGTTTATCTTAAAACCCCTATCTGAGGAGAAATCAAAATTGTTTTGAGGAAATTAAGCTCCAAAGAATATTGAATATCATTTCGAAAGCAGGGCTACAAAGATGGGATCAGCTGCCATGGAGGGATAAGTTTTCCCTGTTGACCTTATTTACATACGTTTACTAGAAGAAACATATAGAAAGTGTTGCAGGTAGAAAGATGAATATTCTTATAAAATCAATCTTGATTTGAAGGTTGATATGACATACATTGTACGATGTACTTGCTTTTCTTTTCAAACTTTGAATTAAAAGAAATGTAAAGATAACGAAGAAATCAAGCTCAGAACAGATTAAGCTTTACAAATTAAAAACAGAAATTAAAGATTGAGGTCATACCATGTTATTAGAAAAATGTTTTCCCTCTCCCGAAAGAGTGCCTTAAACGGTGAACTAAATTCATTTTTTAACCTTCAGGAGTCATGTTTTCATTCAAACTGAAATTTTCTCAGAACTAGTATTTTTTATTCAAAAACTCCGTGGCCTATCTCCTACCGTATTTTAATATGCTGAGTCGGAGGAGAACATGCAAACACTTCTTTCTAATGGTCTCATCAGTTTTGTTATAAAGAAGATGGGTGAATAAGGCGGGCAGAATGCCTATAGTGCGACAGATAAGAAGTGAAAATTTTAATCTCAATTGAATCCAAATTTTACTTGATATTTTATCTAATATTAAAGTATACTTTATGTAATATCTCTACAATTTACAAAAATCTCACAAAGACTGAAAAAATTTGCCTATGAAAAAGCTTACACACACTACAAAGAACAAAAACGATCATTTTCTCATACTTAAACAATTTTTTTCAATATGGGTGGGTCTTCTCTCCATTTTTTTTGAAAGATGATCCTAAAAGTGTGCAATAAAATACTCATTTTTTGGTATTCAAAAACATGGAGCGAAGACCCACTATACCTTAAAAGCACACTTTTATGACACAACATTAGCATCTTTCCGAGAAATACTTCAAGTCCATTAAGTCGCGTGTCATATCACAAACATGATTTAAATGCCTAAAATTACCATGAGCGGTGTAGCATAGTGGTTAACGCGTTAGTCTCAAAGCAATATGCTATTGATACGTCGGATTTTTATTGCTAGGGTTCGAATCCCACGAATACCATCTAATAATTTTATGAAAGAAAATGTTTTACGAGATTTTTTCTCTCTTAGAAAATTTTTTTCCCCATAATTTCAAAAATTTCAATAATTAGAAGTTAATTTAAATAATCAATTCACATATTTAATATGATTTCTTAATATCTGACGCTATAGGCATTCTGCCCGCCTTGTTCGCCCATCTTCTTTAGTTGATGAACCAATATGTCTTTAGTTAAATTTTCAAAGACAAATCTATGGTATCAGTCTCTATGATATCTTATATAACCCAGTTTCCTATAGAATATATAGTTTAAGCGCATAAAATGAATATTGTTACTTAATAAAAAAATGTATATCGAAAAGTCGAACTGAAGACCCCAGCAAGAAACCTTCCTGTTTCATGAAGGAATTTTAAAAAATGAATTTTGATTCCTAGTTCAAAAAGAGGAACAATAAGAACAGATAAATGGAAATATTGGTCTCCATAAACTACATAAATATTTTAGGACGATAATATCTAAATCAGAGTACCAGTGTTTAAATAAAATCACAAATTAAAACGACCAGTTACAAAACAATGATATACAGTATTTAAAACGGATTATTGCCCAAAACTAGCAAGATTAAAGGTCAGAAAATTTGACACTTTAGTGACACTTTTCTTTATTTTCCAACTGAACAATTCGGTTAAAAGTGTAATTACTCATTTTATTTCTTAATAGATTTAATCTTGCATGTTTAATTGCCTTTTAATTTATTAAACATATAGAAAAAAAAGAGTTTCTCGTTTTTAAAATGCTTTCCTTTGTTCCCCTCTTTCAAAAAGGAATTTAAAACTTCAAAATGTTTCAGGATATTGAATTTCAAAACATTTAATTTTTCTGTCATTATTTTGTTTGAGGCATTGTTTAAAAAACATATGGAAGAATTTATAGCTTAAGTTTGAGTGTATCTGTAATATTATTCGTTTAAGTTTTTACATTCAACATTTCTTTTGTGTGTGTGTGTGTGCTTTTTTACACATTTTCGTAAACGAAAAAATAGATTACCTAAAGCAACTTTCATATCTTATAAAACTGAAAGAAGAAACAAATGACATATTGATTTACATGTATTTTCGACAAATGCATTTCTTTCTATTTTTCATGCAGTGTTTTGGCTTCTGAGAATTCTCTTCTTTGAATAAGACTTAACAACCTTTAACCTATCTTCTGAAATTTACATTTAATATCAATTCCATCGTTTTTTTATATTACTTAGCTGTTCCGTTTTAGTGTAATAGGGTATTTCTTTAAAGTGGATCCGGTGCATTCATTACAAAAGTAAATGACTAAGGAGTGTTTATGACAAAGAAATCAGAAGTATACTGTTTCAAAGACTGGAAGAATGTCAAGTTTTAGTTAAGAGAAATCAATGTTTATAACGTAAGAGTCAGCTACAAGATTCATATTTTTGGAATGTCCTTTTCAGTTTGTAAGTACTCGTTTATATATATTATGCTTTTCTTCATTTTTAATTTTACATTTATATTGCTGTGTTTATATGGTATTGGAAAACTTTCTTTAAAAAATCATTTATTTTTAATTAACAATATTCGCTCTAAACGATTCAATATTTTAATTTGATTTACTTGAAATTAAAAAATTTTAGACTTTGATCTCAGCGAATATGTAGAATTCAAAGCAGTTTATATTTTCCATGCCATTCAGTGGTCATGGATAAAAACAGGAAAATAATCATTAACAATAACAAAGACGAAGTGAAGATTGTTTCAAACTGGGGCCACGTTAAACGTAACGTCAAGCTCTCAGACGTGGTGGACCCTCTGATAGAGAAAGGACTCATCACGCCCGACCAGTGGATGGACATCAAAAATCGACCAATCAGCGAGCCGGAAAAGATGGAGGAATTCATGTACATACTTCTCAAGCAGAAATCTGGAGCTTTAGGGATTTTTCTAAAAGCTTTACGAAACTCTGGTTTTCATCATGTTGCCGACGAATTAGAGGGAATCCCTAATAAAGATGGTCTGTATAAAGAATGTTCTTTGATCATTTTAATTTTATATTAATTCTGTTATAATTTAAATTTTTTTGCCAGTTTAATGAAATACGTTGCTACAGCTGATATTGATTTTTATAAAGGTTAACTTGCATCGCATTAACCTTTACCCCAAAATATGCCATTTACAAAAATATTTTTAAAATATAGTGTTTTTTAAAGAGAAATCATAATGGCCTCTGAGTACTTACTCCCTATTTTTATTAAAGGTTGTGATCATTCGAGGACACGGCCCAGAGTAAGTACCAGTATTTGACAGTAAATCAGCAAATTTCTTTTCATACATTAAATCATACTACCAATTTCTTCAACATATTAATCACGTTTATCAAATACATGTACTCTATATTTGAACGTTTGTGAAAAATTCTATTTGATTTTTTTATTTTTATGATACTTTGCATTCTTATTATGCTGAAGGAAAGCAAAAAACACAATTTTCCTTTATCAAAAGCAGAGTTACATAAAATTATGTGTAACTTTAATTTCGGCACAGGTTCCCGATGTTAGCACAACAGAGACGAATAAAGATGGGAAAAGTGGAGGTCAGGGTTCTGCCTCTTCTTCCAAAAGTACCGACACGGTACGTCAAGAAGATCTCCACAAAATGAAAGAAGAAATAAAGGATGAATTGCGCAACATTCGTGAGAATTTGGCGTCAGAGAGAAAACAAGACAGAGACCAATTGCTTTTGCTTCAGCGAGAACATAAACATTTGCAAAATGATTTTGAAAGACTCCGAAGTCAGAAGAGTGAATTGTCATCCCGTTTGGATGATTTGATAAGTTCGGTAGACAGTTTGAAGAGCAAACTGGAAGAAAAGGAACGTGAATATCAGGAGCTGAAAAGAATAAATGATGGGCTGAAAGGAGACTTGATGAGACAAAATAAGAGTAACTCCAGATCCATACAAAAGAAGGACAGGGAGAAAGAAGAAATGGAGAGAAGATTAGAAAAGAAAGAGGATGAATATAAATTATTACAAGCCATGATGGAAACATTAAAAACTGACCACGAGGAAAGACTTCACAGACTAAAAGTCGTGAATAAAGAAAAGGTTAGGGTAGACGGGGAGTACAAAAACGTACTGTCGGAGAAAAAAGACCTGGAATCTAAGTACCAAGCCCTGAACCAGCAAGTAAAGGAAGCACAAGTGAAACATACAGAGGAAGTGATGCAACTCCGAGGTGATGTCAAGGATAGTATGCTGAGGATTGAGGAGTTAGAGAAAGACAAAAACGAATTATCACAACAGCTGTCAGAGTCTGAAAAAGAAAACGAAGAACTGAAAAGGGAGAATAAGAAACTAGAAGAGGATCTACGCCGTACTGAAGATGATAAGGACCTTCTGCAAACGAGGCTTCGTCAGTCTGACCTTCAGAAGTACACAGTTCCTCCGTTCTCTTCAGTCGCTAGGCATTCAAATTATCCTCCGCACACAAGAGCTCCACCAAAGCCTCTATGGAGGTACATATTCTTTCATGATCAAGGACTTGATGTCCATATCTGAGTTTAATGAATTTAAGAACCTTTCTTATTTGATGTAGTGCAGAATGTTCCTATATTCAGAACTTTTAAGCAGTACTACAACGCTGTAGAACGAGACAACTACCTTATATATTCAAACTGCTTTATAGGCTATATTGATTCATCTTCATGGCTTTTTATGTTCAGCCCATGCCTTAGAGTAATTCTGTACTGAGGTAATTATGTCAATGTGCAAAGTCATGCATACATTTTATAATCATAATTTTCATACATTTTTGCAGGTTGGGTGCACGTGGTAAACATCAGTAACAAATGAAAACGATTGGAATGATCTGGTGTACTATAGAAAGTCAGATGTAATATATGAAATCAAATGTATATGTGGTAAAGTGTAAATATTTAAAAAGAGTGTATAGTTTTCGTATTTTAGAATTTTTCATTTATTTGACATGCATATTATTATTATTGTCTATTAAATAATTTTGATATTATTATTTCCAGGAATTTATTTAATTTAACTTATTTATATTTCAGCAGTTTATTATTTATCTAAGGTATATTATACTTTAGAAGCTTTAGAGTTATTTAGAAATTAATTAAGAATTATTAGATATAAGTTTCCCTTATACTTACTCTAGTTATAAACTTTGAGAGGTCAGTGACCTATGAAGTGACCCAACAATGAGATTTCATTGGTCAAGATTTTGGAGGGAAATCTCTTTGTGGGTAGATATTTTTGGGTAGAACTGGTCATACCAGTCTTTGTGTCCAAGAGGACAGTGTGTATTTTTGGTGATTCCCTGGGTTTACTATTTTGGGTGTTCAGTTGTATGTTCACTTCATCTACATTTTCATCGAGGGTGTATTTCAAGGATCTCAGGTCTGTTGTTATATTATTTTGTATGATTGTGATTTTTATTTTGTATGAAAGTGAGTGAAAAAGGTGTTAGAATGGTGAGTGAAAGTTTGAGAGTTTGTGTATTTGTGTGAATGAGAAACATAAATATTTTATCTGACATTTCACTCTAATTCAGTCATGAAATTATATATATGTAGGACTGAGTGAAATGAATAAACAGGTGTAAAGTTGTAAAACTAGTTTTATAAATAATTTGTGTAATTGTAATGTTATTTATCGTAAAAATTAGGAATTTTAGCTTTTATTTCATATAATTTAAATAATCCTTTCTAATTAAAGCATAGGTATTTTTCATCAAATTAATCAGTTATCATTATTAAAGATTTTTATATCAGCTAAAGGAGATTACTCATTTTTATGCATTCTTTATAGGACTGAAAACAGCTACATGTATTAGCTACTAGTACAGTATGTAAAAAACATCTAGACCTTTACAGCTACATGTATTAGCTACTAGTACAGTATGTAAAAAACATCCAGACCTTTTGACCATATTGAAGGTAATTTATGTGTTTTATGTTTGTGTTGTTCTATTATATGTATGTGTTGACAGAACTTTATTTTGAGTATTTGTCTTGCATGTTTATATTTTGTGTTGAATTGAATTTCATTTGTATTCAGTCCAATGCATGAAACTGTATTTCTGTAAATGTTCAGTAAGATTATTTGATTCTGAATTATTAGCTCACCTGAGCCGAAGGCTCAAGTGAGCTTTTCTGATCAAAATTTGTCCGTCGTCTGTCGTCGTCGTCGTCGTTGTCGTCGGCGTAAACTTTTCACATTTTCATCTTCTTCTCAAGAACCACTGGGCCAATTTCAACCAAACTTGCCACAAAGTATCCTTAGGTGAAGGGAATTCAAGTTTGTTCAAATGAAGGGCTACGCCCTTTTCCAAGGGGAGATAATTATGAATTAGTGAAAAATTAATGGCATTTTTCAAAAATCTTCTTCTCAGGAACCAATGGGCCAGGAAAGATGAAACTCAAAGACATGTGGAATCATCCTAAGGTAGTGTAGATTCAAGTTTGTTCAAATCATGACCCCAGGGGCTAGGGTTGGGCTAAAATGGCCGATCAAAGTTTTACATAGGAATATATAGGAAAACTCTTTAAAAATCTTCTCAAGAACCATTGAGACAGGAAAGATGAAACTCATGTAAAATTATCCTCAGGTAGTGAAGATTCAAGTTTGTTCAAATCATGACCCCCGGGACCAGGATGGGGCCAAAAAGGCCGACCCAAGTTTTACATATATATAGGGAAACGTTTTAAAATCTTCTTTTCAAGTATTCAAAGCCATGATTAGTGATATTTATATGGAATCAACCTCAGGTAGTGTAGATTCTAGTTTGTTCAAATCATGAACCCCCGGGGGTTAAAATTCAAGCCCCCCCCCCCCCCCCCCTCAGTAAACTTTTAGTTCTGACTTCTGATCTGGTATGTGCTTTTTCCTAGCCGATGTGCTCAGGTGAGCGCTGTGGCCCCCTGGGCCTCTTGTTTAAAATCAGATAATGACTATGATAAATTATTATGATTTTCTCTTATTTCAAATTGCTACATTGTTAAAGGAATTATTTTTTATGATAAATTGATCTGTGATAAAGAAGTAATTATTTTTATATAAATTTAATACTAATAGAATATGAACTATAAAGTATAAATTTATTATAATGATAACAAATACTGTATTGCAGTTAAATGTATATTTTTTATCTTGTCTAATAATTGTTATTGTTATTACAGGGTCTACTTATACTTGTACTATTAATAAAATCATCCAAACCAGAAACGATGTTGTCATTCCAAGAACCCTATTACATATATATACAATATAGTGTTTTGGGGGAAAGTGTTTTCCTCTCAATTGCACATGTACATTTTTTTTTATTGAAAGTGCCCTATTACCAATTGCAAAAATTGTTTATATCAGGACCATATGCTGATATGATTTGCCATGCAATCAACAACATACTTATAGATCACTGTTTTGTAAATCGTGTGTGTAAATGTCAATCCCTGATAAAATTGGATATATGATCTGTATGTGCTGTTAAAAGATAAGATCACTGAAAATTAATATCATTAAAAATATAATCACAGTGTTGAACTACCGTCTTCCTGTTAATTATAGATAAAAATTCTAATTTTTCTTACAACCCCACATAATCAATTAGTATTCTTCTGTCTTCATCACCTGGACACGGTCCATTCAAAGGCAAATAACTCTTTCTCTCCTCTGAATATAAGTTGGCGGTTGCCAAGTCTGATTTCTGTAGAGAAAACAGAAATATCATCATTTATATTTGTAGGACTTAAAGTGCGATGGGACTCCAAAGTCCTTAGCATATCATACCATCGCACTTTAAATAGCGCAGCGCGCCTCATGTGTAACGAGCCATCGGACCTTGGCGTCCGTAAAGACAGTGAGCCATCGGGGTTTGGCTCAGAGCATCGGACTTTAAATTCATTAACGAAGTAATGAAACAATCATTTGATTTTTAAGGGGGGATTTTGAAAATATTGTCTTGCCTCCAAAGATGTTGAAAATACTTTATAGTTATATGTACATATAACTTTCCTTTATCTGTCTATTTTTTTGGTATGGAAACTAAAGCAAATTCCAAGAATTGTGATCCCCCGCTTTCGGTGACTTAATATAGATGGGATGCCATTTTTTATTGCATATTGTGTCAATTTTGAATCGATCATATGTCAACTCATTTAAAAGTAATCACCAAAATTTTGAGAAATAGGTCAAACACAAAAGTCTAGGTCAATGCTGAAAAATCAAAGCATGTTCGGAAACAACTTCTTATCATAAGGTCTGTAAGGGACACAGACTCAAGGAATTCATTTGTTGCCTCTCGGATAATCCTCAGGGATATTAAACATATGTCATTTGTACAGTCTTCAGATTCCTAGTTTGGGTATATAACCAATAGCTCAAACAAAAAAATGAAAGAATGTAAGGTTTCTATTACAGATATATTTGAAGATTCCTTTTCCAATCCCATGTGTTCTATTTCAAAATGTTCTGTGAAAATTAAAACTGAAAAACCTGTGATATTTTGATAACAAACACTTCTTTCATCAGTAATCTTACTGGACAGAGCTTCTACATATTCTATACCAAATCTTCTAATGTTGTCTACAGCACAGAATGTAATCTGTGTGGACTTGTTTATGTTGGTGAAACCAAGGAATACCGGTATCAGGTCATCGATTTCAAAAAAATAATGGGGGTCATCAGCTTTTATACAAATTCTCGAAAAGATTAATCACCACAAAACAGTCCATCACTAATTGCGTGGACCCTGAGGTCCACGCAGTAAATATATAAGCGAAGTTAAACCGGATGCCCTGGGCAAACGACAGGCTACGCTTGCGCGAGAATGCTTCGCACCTTAGGTAACTTGCCCATAGAATAATTCGCCCTATTCGAATTAATTAAATTGGCAAATCGCGCTTTTAATTCTTCATATCGCATTTAACATATTCATTGACAGATCCGATTTTCTCTCTTTTACATATACTTTTATAAACAAACTAAACATAGGCTGTAATTTTCGGTAAACTTCGGCTTGATCTCGGTGATTTACGATATAAAATGCTTTTTCATTTCGAGTCAATATCAAAGGCCAAAATTCAAATATTTTTGTTTCAATTGATAGATAATTAAAGAAAACAACTTGATGATAACAAAGTTGACGTTGAAATAGTTTAAATGTGCATCTTTTAAAATAAAACGATGTATCCGAGACTATAAAATTGAAGATGGCGGCGCCCATGAAAAGTCGGCCAGGGAAGGACCGGTTCAAGAAAAGACATAATTTGACAAGCGTCCAGTTGTTTTAGCAGATCGTACTTGTGAAATAACCTTATTCGTGATTCCATGCATGTTTTTCTGTCATGGCATAACCCTCATTTTGACAGTAAGAGTTCGTTAGATGCCTGGAAGGAGGGTAATCGGGTTTGATGTTCATTGTTCTGGTCAGAGGCCTCATATTGTGCTCAAAATGTCACTGCGGACCATTATTATTTAGCGAGAGAGCGAATGTGAGTGAAACTCGGGTTAGCTGGTTTTTATACATGCAGTGCCGCTGTGCTTGCAGCTGGCACCGATGTTCCCAAAATGGCAAAAGCTGAGAAAATCCAAAGGGATGCAGTATATTTCAGTACTAATACACAGATTGCAACAGGTAAGCATTTATATTTATATTTGTTTATGGAATTTATGTTATCTAATTTAGGCATTGACAACTAGGGTAAGTCGGGGTAATTTCGACCATGGTTCAATTTCGACCAAACAAACACAACACTGCATCATGATTTACGGTATTGTTGAGACAAGTTTCTTTAATTCGGTTTTAAAGTAAACTATTCCTAAAACTGGATTTCCTAG